TTTACATTACATTGGGAGAGTCTGAATGAGTTAAAAATAAAAGCTATGGAATGTTACCCTTTAAATATATATTCTTTCAGTTTCTTTTTGGACCTTGGGCCTTAGGCATCCTGGCTAGTTAAAGATGGCTGCAAGGTTCACCTAGGGACCCTGTGGGTCTGATATCTGAGAAGCTGAGCTTTAGCATTCAAATTGCACCTGAGCTGTAATTATGTATTCAGTACTTTTTTTTTTGTATTCAGTACTTTTATATTAGTTATCAAACCAGTCATGGTGGTAGACACCTGTACTCTGAGATGCTTGTGAAGCTGAGGTAGGATTGTTTAGCCCAGCTTTTCTCAAGTCTCACTGTATATCCCCAGCTGGCCTGGATCTTGCTATGTAGACCAGGCTGACCTCAAACTCACAGAGATCTGCCTGCCTCTGCCTCCTGAGTGCTGGGATGAAATGCTTGTGGCACTTTGCCCTGCAAGACCCCCCATCTCAAAAAGAAAAGAATCACCTGTCAGTTGTTATCACAAATTGCTGCACATTTCTTTTTGCCTGCTTTGCTTAGACACAAAAAGGAAGACCTTCAGCATCAGGATGAACTGAGTAAAGGCATTCTCAGGTATAATAGTAAAATGGCCTGATGAGGACCAGAGAAAATCTTGCTTCTCAGAGGTCTGCAGTCTAACATCACTTGGAAACTTTTTGGAAATGCAGATTGCTAGAGCCCATCGTCTGTGTTGGATGCTTGCCCAAGTGGGAGAATAGGGTAAACAGGAGGGGCTCTCTACTCTGGAGCTTTCTTGCCTGCTCTGCTCTGGGGTCTGAAGCTCTTCCCTCCCAGGAACATATTCACCCATGGACACCCCTACCTGTTTTTTCATTTCTCTGATACTCCTCTGTGTCTTAGTCTTTCCAATTTACTGTTCTTTTATTCAGGGACTTTTTACGTGACCGTTTCTGTATCAGGAAGGGCCCTAAGCTTAGAGCACAGAGGTGAACAACGCAGGCAGTATTGTGCCCCCAGGGGCCTTGCTGTCAGAGCTAGCTGACAGACGTACCTATTTCCAAAGGGTCTCCTTTGCCCATCCAGGCCACCGTAATCTCTCATATTCCCTAATGTGGGAGTTGTTCAGGGCTTGGAGTGGCAGAGCCATGGAATGCTAGATAAAGCGGTGCTCTGGTCCTTTGTTGAGGGAACTTCTAGTGACATATGTTACTTTTGAGTATCTGCCTCAACAGAGTGTAAGGCCTCCTGGTGAGCAGTTGCACAACTGAAGACCAGGTCTGGTGAATAGAGAGTTCTTCTTTTACTTTCCTACTGAACTTTGTTCTTTACCTTTAAATTTTAGTTGGGTGCAGTTAATATTTGCTAAATCAATTTTACAAACTACAGACTGGGCTGTGGGGGTGGTGGCTCAGTGGTTGAGCACATGCCCAGGATGAGTGAGGCCCTGGGTTTGAGCCTAGACCTAAATATAAGTTTGGAATGTCAGGAATTTGTTCTAGAGAGTTTCTTTGGAAGGGAGGGTATTTTATCTCAAAAAAAAAACAGCCAATGGATACACAATAGAAAAGAGGCTGTGGGAGTTTAGGCTGCTTTGGGTAGCAGAAGAGGGAAAGGAAGGAGCCAGCCACCCGACTCTTCCCTGTGAGGGTCTCCAGCCCAGCCCTAAGGTCCAGAGGCTCTTTGGGGTATTTGAAAATCTGGATAGAAGACTTGGCCTTTGGGTTTAGGTGTTTTGGGTTTTTGTTTTGCTTTTTGCAAGCTGAGAGAGGAGACAAAAAGTGGGGCACCATAGTCCCAGGTGGCCCAAGAAGCAAGCTAGTCTGTGCTTCTTTTGAGGCCTGTGACCTGGAGCCCCTTCTGTAGCGGTCCTGGAAGCCCTTAATGAGCTGCCACTACTGCTCCTGCAGTCTGCCCCCATGTGAGGCCTTTTGAAAGGTCACGTGCCTCTCAGATGGCGCTTAAAGAGCTATTGTTACTTTTTCAGAGTGCCTGAGCAGAAAGAGGCTTCTGAGAGCTGGCTCAAAGAGGCCAGAAAGCCAAGAGCCTGGCTTTTTGCCCTTTGGTTCTTGAGGGCATGTCTTGTCATCTTTAAATTATGTCCTGCCTAAGAGATAGTTGTTACACAACCCTGTGTGGAAGAGGTCTGCTGTCCTCTTTTGGAGAAGTTGGAGACCCTTTAGAGCATGCTAATGGCCAGGTTACTACCTTGAATTAAGCATATTTTGGGAAATCTTCACTTTTAAATAAAAAGGTGGATTTTAGATTTGTTGCTTTTTTTTTCCTACAATGATTTAGCTAGAATTTGAATTGTGTGCATTTTGCAGTTTTATTTGGTATATGGAGCCTTTTTTTCTTTTTCTTTTTTTTTTTTTTTGCCTCAGCACAAAAGAAAAAAAAATTAAACCTGTTTTGAGATGTAGAGGGCCTTATTTATATATTTGAAGAGCGTGTAAGGTTTTAGCTTGCATATCTGTTCACAGATTCTGCTTACAGGGCCCTCCGCCCTCTTGTTTCAAGTCAGCATTACAAATGTCTTTGTAGGTTTTTCCCAAATCAGAATTAGCTTGTGGCTCTGACCAGCTGGATCATTCTAATTGGAAATTAGATGCTTCTCACATTTAAGTCTCTCTGAAAGTCCACAGATACTGTTCAGCTATGGGAATTCTTCTAAATGACTACAGTGTCTCATAGCCTGGGTATGTTTTAAATATGTGAGTTTTGTAGACATGGTGATTTATGTATTATTCGGCCAACAAGATGGTTCAGTGGGTAGGAGTCTTGCTGAGCAAGCTGAGGGGCTCAGTGGCTCACAGTGGAAGAAGGGAACCAGCCCCAAGGAGCTTTCCTCTGTCTTCCTCATGCACCTCTACACACACACACACACACACACACACACACACACAGAGTCACACACTAATAATAAATTTTTAAATGTACTGGGTGCACTTACCTACATACAGGCAATACACGCATACACATAAAATAAAAATAATAAAATTTTTTTTAAAAATGTACTATTGAGAATGTACTGACAGTTGGGATGTAGTGGAACACTCCAGTAACTACGGCTGCTCAGTAGGCTGAGACAGGCAGCTTGCTTGAGCCTATGAGTTTAGACTAGCCTGGTAAACAATCTCCAAATCTCCCAAGGAGGGTGGGGAATGGGGGAGAGAGAGAGAAAGAGAGATTGATTAACTTTGAGAAATGCTAGAGTGTGCATGTTTGTATTTGTGTACTCACACACTGAAGTGACCACTGGTGTTATTAGATCCTTTTTGTCACAACAGTTGATTACAGGACTAGTCTTTGGTTCTCATGATTGGCACCTGTTTTGTTAGTGCTTATACAGTGAGGAGAGATGTTTTGTACATGTAACTCCACGTTCTTTATAAGCATTGGCAGATCTCAAGCAGATACCGACCTGCAGTTGTCTTCATCTTCCACCATAAGTCAGACACCTCAGGGGGTTGTATGCCAAACTCTTTGGCCCCTCTATGTCTGCTTTGTGGGGCAGCATGGCTTTCCTTTAAATAAAATGTTGAAAGAAACTTGGGTGAAGTGTGTTCATCCTGTTAGCTTTCTCTTTAGGGTCAGACTTGAGATTCGAATGGCTGGTGAGGTCTAGGTGGGTTCATGTGATGACCTCTCTCCCCTGCCCCTGGCAGAGTACCTGAGCCTTTGCAGATGTGAGGTGAGCATTAGTGAAGGGATGAATGAGGGCCTAGCGGGCAGCTGCTGCAAGGCAGCAAAAGGTAAGAAGCATTTAGAGGAAACTCAGATAACTACTGAGTAGTTGCTCATCCACGAAGGTGTCACAGGATTGAGCCACATTTGGAGAGGATTCCCACCAGGCCAGGGGTGAATGCTACTTCACATTCTGAGCGAAGGTCCTGGTTTAGTGAGAACCTCATCCCTTCATCTAGACAGCAGGAGAGCTTCCTCTTGTTTTCAAGATCTGAACTGGGCATGTGGTGTGTGTCTGTAGTCCTAGCATTTGGGAGGCTGAGGCAAGAGGGTTAGATACATATTGAAACCTTGCTTTAAAACCTAAAACAATCACAAGAAAGTGAGCTCTGTGAGGCAAAGGCTGGCCAAGTCCTTCTGCAGTAGAAGTTCTGAAAGGAGGCAGTGCCTGTGTGGCCGTGGAGAACTGAAGCACCCCTCCAGAGATGACAGCCAGGAACACCAGTGTTCTCAAATGGATCTTACAATTTAACCCATTGTTGAATTCTCAGGGTCTGAGTTACTCCTTGGCAGTACATCTCTGAAATCACAGTAGGTATTTTGTCACGAAATATCTCAAATACCCAAACGGCAGGGCTTATAATCAGAGCAAATTACTTTAAAATTCAAGCGATTGTATTCATACACAAATGTGCTGTGAAACTGAGCCAAGCAGAAACCCAGACAGAGAAACACGCACTCCTCCCTTGTTCTAGAATGGAAGGCAGTGATAACTCAGGTCCTGTGGTTGGTTAGCATGGGTGAAGTGCTTCACATGTCACCCTCTGCCTGAGGCCATTCTGAAAGGTCAGTTCTACCAAAATTGTACATGTTTCCCCTCTTCTAATTTCTCTACTGTCCCAGTTGCACTCAAGATGTAACACCTATGTCTGTTGAGGTCATGTGTTGTCTTGAACTTTAAAAATCAATCCATTTGGGTGGAGGGAAATTGAACCCCTGCAGTAATAGTTAGGCATGCACATGAGCTGAAAAACATAAAAAATCAGTTTCCACGGTAACTCCTAACTTCTCCACGTCGTACACAAAGTATGTTGGCCAAGACCTACTGATAAAAATTGCTCGGCAGGCATGAAGGGGTAGATTTCCTACTTCTCTCTTTGTATAAAAGGCCTTCCCCAATAAAGCCATCTACTCTACTGAGTAACCCAGGGCAGGAAACTACAGTCTTAAGTCCTAAGCTCTTAAGTCAGCATCTTTTTTTATGGTGGACATTGGCCTTTGTGTGATTCATGCCATTTCCTGTCTTTCTCCTTTGTAGATATATGTTGGGTAAAGGAGGAAAACGGAAGTTTGATGAGCATGAAGATGGGCTGGAAGGCAAAATCGTGTCCCCCGCTGATGGTCCATCCAGGGTGTCTTACACCTTACAGCGCCAGACTATCTTCAACATTTCCCTTATGAAACTGTACAACCATAGGCCTCTGACGGAGCCAAGCTTGCAGAAGACTGTTTTAATTAACAACATGTTGAGGCGGATCCAGGAGGAACTCAAGCAGGAAGGCAACCTGAGGCCTCCATTTACCCCCTCTTCCCAGCCCAGCGACTCGCTGAGTGACAGCTACCGAGAGGCACCACCTGCCTTTACCCACCTGACCCCACCTTCTGCTCACCCCTGTGACCTAGGAAGCACTACGCCCTTGGAGGCCTGCCTCACCCCTGCCTCACTGCTCGAGGCCGACGATGACACTTTTTGCACTTTGCAGGCTGTGCAGCCTGCAGCTTCTACCAGACTCTCCGCTCCAGCCCTTCCTCCAGAAAAAGACAGCTTCTCCTCTGCCCTGGATGAGATCGAGGAGCTCTGTCCCACATCTACCTCCACAGAGGCGGCGGCGGTAGCACCAGACAGCTCAAAAGGGACCCCTGGTGAGTCCCGCATCCAGAAATCAGAGGGGCCCCAGGAGGGCCGCACAGATGACTCAAGACTCCTGGACTCTCTGCCTGGGAATTTTGAAATAACAACGTCCACAGGTTTCCTGACAGACTTGACCCTGGACGACATCTTGTTCGCTGACATTGATACATCCATGTATGATTTTGACCCCTGCACGTCTGCATCGGGGACAGCCTCAAAAATGGCCCCTGTGTCAGCCGATGACCTCCTCAAGACTCTGGCTCCCTATAGCAGTCAGCCAGTTGCCCCGAGTCAGCCTTTCAAAATGGACCTCACAGAGCTAGACCACATCATGGAGGTGCTCGTTGGGTCCTAAGACCTGGGGACCCAGTGACTGCTCCCACCCAGGCCCTGCAAGCGTGCCCGCGACCCTGACACTTCTCCGCACTGTGCATGCACCCTTGCTTGCCTTTTTCAGAGAAAACGAAAATTTTACGAAAGTATCACACTAGATTTGTTTTGTTTTGTTTTGTTTTGTTTTTTGAGCAGAGTTGGAGTGCCTTCATCCGAGTATGACCACTTTTAATATGCTTTTCTGAATGGCTCCTCAAGAGACCTACCGCCCTGGCATAGGAGAGAATACATTTGAAGACAGTGTGTTGCTAAGTCGAATGATGAACATAAACAGTTCAAGAGAAGCACAAGGATTAAGTTGGAAAAGCTGTAAATTGCATGTGCATATTTGTCTATTTTTTCTATAAGTTTTATTGCAAGAGGTAAAAAAGAAAAATATATATATTATTTAGATAATCTCAGTACCTTTTCTGGCATTTTTGCCCTGTATAGGTTGACTTGGCAATTCAGCCTTTTTAGAGGCATTAACTATTCCTCGTAAGTGTTGCATTTACATGGCTGTTTAGAAAATTGCTGCCCAAATTTATTTTATATTTTTGTACAGATTCTGCAGTTTATGATATTGTTTTTCTAAAAACAAATGCTGTTTATACATATGAGATAGCTATTTTGATAGGATTTGCTCACATAGTTCCTGCAAACTTAAGATGTACAAGTTGCACTTGTACTTTTATAGAGTCGTAATGTTTTATATGTGTATGGTGCAAGAGAAAATTGGATCAAATCAATCTGCAGTTGATATCCCCAAATGCAGACACACTCAGACACACACAGCACTTAAGAAAGGGCCAGACAACACCCAAATTTCACAAGCACCAGCCCCTCACAATCACCCGCCAGTACAGCAACTTCCAAAGCCATAGCCCCATCTGCTCATCAAACTCACATTAAGCAGTTGGCAGGGAGATGGCTGCGGAGCTTGGGGTTGAAGTGATGATCTCCTTAGCTCCCTCTTTCTAGCAAAGGCTATTATTATCTTACTACTTAAGGTTGTATTTATGCCAAGTTTGCTCTTTTAATTGTTTTTATTTTTTTTAAATAAAAACTCAAATCTTTCCCTTTTGGCATAACTTTTATGATGAGACCACAATTTTATGTAACAGAGTTTATGACAGCTCTTCATGGAGCCGAGCCCTGCTTCAGGACCTGGGGCTCGTAAAGAAGAAATCCCCCCAGAAGGCGTACGTCATGTTGCTAACCTGCCTTTTCCCGTGTCCTGTCCCTAGAGCTTTTGTTCCCTGTTGCCAAGAGCTGCAAATGGCATCTTCACGATCACCACAGTGAGCTCTCAGCTCACCTCCGCCAGCCGGGATGCACTCTTCCGACATCTGTGACTCTTTGTCACCCTATGTCACGACACCCAGTCTTGTTGCTTTCTCTATCAGCTGCTGGTTTAACTACACCTTCCAAGGCTGTTCTACCCAGATACACAGACAGGAATTTCTATGCATGTTTCTGCCGCTCTCCCTGTCTCCCACCCCCGGACACCCTTAAGAGATAACTTTTTAGTCCCAATGATATCCATTTACTTTAAAGAGGTTGTTCTGTTTGTTTTTCCAGTGTATCATGCTCGTTGCTGAGATCTATTGCCTTTTCTGTCTCCATGTTTCTTTCTCTCAGTGGTACTTCCGCTACTGAGTGCAGGTTGCAGCCCTATATTGCGATGCAGGCGGCTTCTTTAGGAATTAACTTTCGTATTTATTTAAAATTTTTTAAATTATGGGGTTTTGTTTTTGTTGTTGATGTCTTTGTTGTTCGTCATTTGTCAATATTTAGTCACCAATTCTGCTCACTTCTTGCCATGGATAAAATGAGGTCTTTCTGGCCAATTAAAAGATAACTTTATAAGTGGCACTTTAAACAAGCCATAGATAATTTATTTTCATAATGCACATGGCAAGCAACTGCACTGGTGGTGAAGGAACTGCTCGTTTAAGTAAAAGATCTGTGTATGATATGATTAAATCTTTTTACATTCTAATTTACCTTTTCCCCACTTGAATGTGTTTTAAAGGCTAATTATCAACTCGGTAGAGCAGTGAGAAACTGATCAAATTGCACTTGTTCTCCTGCAAGCACCCTCTCTCTATATATACACTTCTTACTGTTAACAGATGTGTCCTGTCCTTCGATGTAGGACCAGGGACCATATGATAGGGTGAGGGTTGTTGTTAATGCTTCCAAGTGTCACTGTGCCTCTCCGTTTTAAGAGCTTCCCGTTGTAGAGAACAGGTGTGCCGGGACTCTCTGTTTTACAACTGGAGTACCCTAGAACTAGACACATGCCACACACATCTACATACACGTGCATATACAGTAGTGTTGATTATTCTGAAAAAAAGTGGCATAACACAGTTGATTGCCTTTGTCAAAAACTGATTTACAGTAACTTAGAGCGACTGTACTTTGGTTGGATTAGCAAATTATGTGTTTAAACAATCCCGTATGTTAGGCAACAGTTCAAACAAGCACAGAAGCATTGCCCAGACTTGGTTCTCTGAGTCTCGTGTATTTGTAAGACCAGGCTTCAAAATCAAATCAGAACCCCTCAACAACAGCAGGCAAATGCTTTTCAACTCTGACACCTTTGCCATGAATTCTTAAGATGTACATGGGAAATTAATGACCCACTTTCAGAGAGAGCAAACTCATCAAAAGTCAACACTTGTCTGTGCCCTATTTATATTAAATGATGTCCCAACAGGAAGAGTAGGAGCCAGAGCAGGCTCTCCAAGTCCCAGTCTGTGTGTGGGATGCACTTCCCGACACGTCCTGGCAGCAGAGCCAGGCAGGCAGCCTGAGAGGCCTCTCGGCGGTCTGGGCCTGAAGAGGCAGTTCCTGACAGTGATGTGCGATGAAGGGACAAAGTGAGAGCAGAGCCTGAGAGCTTCAAATTTGAAGTTTCCCCATAAGTTATTTATTCCTTTTTTTTTTTGCTGTGTAAATATATTTATTTTACTGTGGAGCTCTAACAACATCTGGGTGGTAACGTGCAGAATGCATGATAGGAATGTATTTCTTGTAGGAATGTAAATTTGTATTAAAAAGGGAGCCAAGCCAGGCCCCCTGGTCTTCTCATTGAATGCACAGTCCACGTTCATTTTTACTCTTGTCTCCAAATGGGTCTGTTTGAAATATGCAAAAGGTATGGATAAGGGATGTTTTAATACCTCCAAATTTTTAAGAAAATCAAGCATCAAAGGGTTGATATTTTTTAAAGTTTTCTGTGTAGCACTTTTCGCTTGATGACAGAAGGGGTAACACATGGGCACCCACCTTCATACCAAAGGGTGAGCAATGGCCACAATCTCCCACACCGCTCAGGTGTCTTTAGCAGTTGAGCTTTTGATGGCCATAGCCCCTTGAAGTGCCCACCACCACCCTGATGTCAATCAAGGAAAATTTCTTTTAAAAATTAGCTCCAAAGAGCCAAAGTATCAACTCACAGATCATTTTTAAAGCTTAAACTCACCACCTTTGCAGTAAACAATGCATTCGGAATACTGCAAGGGCAGCCTTCTCAAATGACAGATACAAGAGCTTCCACTCTGTGCAGAGGTTGCTGTTGTCGGTATAAGTTGTCTTAATGTCAAAATCTTGCTCTTACAAATTGGACCTTTATATGTTTCCTGAAAATACCAGAAAGAGCATATTTGACTTGTCCTAGCTGTAAATGGTTGACTTCCTGTACCTGCCCCGCACCTGGATGCCAGCAGGTGCGCATCTGCTTGCGTGCGATTGTTTCCAATGCTTCCAAGAATGAGTCTATGTGGTTCTTAAAAATCAGCCAGGATCAAATGCTCTTGCAGACAAAGCCAATAAAAATTTTGGACTTCTTTCGGGGAACTTGGAAGAGAAATGCGGCCCATATGTACAGCACCAAGGTGTTGGAAGGGTGTACATAGGGACGTGTTGGGTGCATGGGTTTTGTCAAGAGGAGGTGTGACCTTTCCCCACAGACCTGAGAGCTGTGCCTTTTCTATGCAATACTACAGATGTCACATCAGAACCCAGCAGACTGTGCTCAGTGTGGTTCATTCAGGCTGTAATCTAAGCAGTTGGGCAGATTAAATATACATGGAAATGGGCCGTCTTTTGTAGTTTTATATTATACAATAAACAGTTAAAAGATGAGAGATGTGTTGACTGTTTTCTTCTGACTGGAGTACAGCCAGCTTGTGTGGGACCATTTGCTCCTGTTAAGCTCCAGCCCACAGTAGACTGCCCAGGCTGGTGCTCTTGATCTTCCTGAACCTTTTCAGCCTCCGAACCGCTTTGCTCTTCCGCTGCTCCCCAGGGACCTTCTTGACCGCCATTTCTCTCCAGTCATCATTTTTCCCAGGGTTCTTCCCAAGCCTCCGAGGCACAGTCTGTTTGCTTAACCTGAGACAATCTCCCACCCACATGAAGCACTTGGAAAACTTGAACCCCCCCTGCGTCTCCCCAGCGCTGGGCTGCAGTCTCCACCAGATTCGCATGGATGTCTTATATGAAGTATGTCCCTGCTCCACGGGACCCCCTACCTAGGCCTCTTGTCCCTTCCCTGGCTCAGCTCAGCTGCCCACACAGGAAGTCTGCCTCTCAGTTCTAGCCTCTTTGCCCCTCTGACCCCTTTCTGTCCCTACACTCCCTGAGCCGTACCTCTGCCGTCTTCACCTACTGCTGGTGTGCCTACGACACCAATCTTCCTGCCCTGATGGTCTCAGTGCTGTCACTAATGCCAGCTGCTATGATGAAGCCCCAGTGACTCATGTGATATCTTCCCACTATCCAGAAGCCCCCGATGGCAATCTGGGCACTCTGCCATCTTCAGGGATTCTAAGAGGGGTGGGAGGAGGTAGATAGCCAAGCACTCCCTGACAGCTGGGCCACTGTACCAGCCGGTGAGGGGGGACAGAAGGGGACATGAGAGAGCTGGAAAAAGTGTTCCATTAAATCAGCTATGCAATATGGGAGGAGGAGATTGTAGATTGAATTGTCCCCCAGAGAGGTTAGGTTCTAGTACCTCTGAATGTGACTTTCATTCAGCAGCAGAGCCTTGACAGGTTATTGAGACCCTAATCCAACACTGGCGTCTTTATAAGAAGATACCTTGCCAGGAACTGCCATGCCAACAGACACCACATGAAGACAGGCAGAGGTGAGGGAAGAGGAGAGAGAAGGTCTCTCTTGTACAATGCAGCGGAGGTGGCCAGCAGCCCACTGGTGATAAGGCAAGGAATAGTCAAAGCCTTCAAAGGAACCCAACCTGCTAACATCCTCATCTCCATCTTCTAGCCTCCAGAAAAGTGAGCTGCTGTGGCCAGCTGAGGCTACCTGGAGCAGGTGCTCTGTCATGGCAGCCCTAGCAAAGTACCACAGGGCAGATGAACAGGAGATCCAGTGAAGACCTCTCAAGACCACTGGGAGCTAGGGTCTCTTGGAGCAGTTCAAACATGAAGATGAGCATTTCCTATTGGTATCCAGCCTTGAAGCCTTTCAACCTCCATGTTTGCAAGAACAAGACTGGCCATAGCTCCTTTTGTTGTTTTGAGACAGGGTCTCCCTGAAGCCTCAGTGGGCCTGGAACTCGAAATGGAGACCAGGCTGACCTCTTTTCTCGCAGAAATCTGCCTGCCTCCGCCTCCCAAGTGCACCACCATGCCTGCCTGGCCTTCTAAAGCCCTTTGAAAAGATTGACAAGACAATAAAATAAAAGTACAAAGTAAGGATGTTTGGTCTATCCTTTGGTGCCTAGAACTGTGCCTGACATGTGGTAAGAACTGCAATTGTTGAATTAAAAGGGTATGTAGCTCCTTTGGTAGTGTCCACCTAGCATGCAGGAAGGCCCCGGGTTCTATCTCCAGCACCTATAAACTGGGTGTGGTAGTATGTGTGTCTGTAATCCCAGCACTCAGAAGGTATAAGGAGGATCAGAAATTTGAAGAACATCGTCCAACATATATCAGGGTTGAGCCCTGCTGGGACACATCAGACTCTGCCTAAAATTTAAAAAAAAAAAAGAAAAAAAAAAAAAAAGAGTTGTCCCTCCTTTCAGCAGAATAGCTTGTCTCGCTATGGGAATGGGGGCAGGGGTGAAGAAAAAAAAAAAAAAAAAAAAAAAAAAAAAGAGTTCTGTTCAACCTTCTGTAGAATGAGTAGTGCGGCGCTCAGCATCTCCATGGTTTGCTGTAGGGTTCCTGCTCATTCTCCCCACACAGCCCCATCCCTAGCACACACCAGCACCTTTCCTGCGTATCCTGGCTTCCTACTCTATTCCTGCAGAATAGCTCATTTCAAGACCAAGCTCAAGTGTCTGTCCGCAGATCTGCCTCTGCATCCTCCCAATAACAACCGACCTTCCCTGAGTTCCTGTGGGGCTCCGGACTTTTTAAATGCCCCTCAGAAGCCTTGCCCTGACTTCAGATTAGCCGTCTGCAGTTTCCCCTGCCACGATCCAGTTCTTAGGGGCAGCAGCCCTGGGATGTTCATGTTTGCCGGTTTGTTTGGCACACACCTCACAAGCTACACACCATTTGTTTTTATAAGTAAAATGGTCCTGAAACAGTCATGCTTGCTTATCTGTATGTCACCTATGGCTCGTGTCTGCCACCACAGCAGAGCTGAGGAAGTGCAGTTCAGGCTTGGCCCTCAGAGTCCCAAAGAGTTGCCACAACCCTGACATTTGCAACCCATGCAATCCTTAAGACCGAGGCAACAGTAGACAGGACACGCTCAGGGCATTCACTGAAGGTGTGCACCTATGGAAAAATGAAGTGTTCAGTTGCTAAAGGGCATCTAAGGACACTGAGTGCTGCAGAGGGGCTGGGAAAGCCACAGGGGTGGGAGTGCTCTTCTGAGCCTGTGTCCGTTGTCACTGTCCTGAACCGTAACTGGGCTCTCTCCCTCTCCCTCTCCTTCCCACCCTCCTCAATGGAGGAGATGGAACTGCACAAGCTCATGCATGCTAAACAAACACATTACCACTGAGCCACACCTCCAGTCCTAAATAAGCTTTTATTTTTTTATTTGTTTGTGTTTGCTTTTAGGATGGTCTGTGTTATCCAGGTTGGTCTCAAACACCTGCAACTATTCTACCCTTCACTCTTAAAGCCCCTTTAGCACTGCACACCCTGTCTTCAGCCTGGAGGCCAAGCTGGGTGAAGGTCTGGAGTCTGCTCTCCTGTGACAGCCTCTCTTCTTCCAGAGGGGTGGGAGCCTCCTGGCATACCTACATCACTGACCCAGGAAGCAAGAGCAAGATCACCGGTAGGATTGGCAGTGCCAGGAGTGAAGACAAGCTTTTCCCGGCTGAACACTCTAGCCTCCCTCTGGCTCTCTCCCCTGGCTGTGTGGCTTCAGGCAGGCCATTTCCCCTCTCAGGATCTTGGAGGGGTGGGAGGAGGAGGCGGGATCTGTGGTTTCTCCCTGGCTGTGGACTGGAATCACAGTGGGAGGGGCCATTGAGGTCTCAAGGACTTTGCAAAAGCTCCTGAAAGAAAGGAGATTCTCTGCCTGAAGGTGCCAGCCTGTGGTGGTATCTGGGATGGCTTGTTATGTGCATGACAGGGAAGGCAACACATGTGAGCATTGTCTCCGGAGCCTGGAACCTCTCTGCAGCAGGCTGGCTGTCTCAGTGCCACAGCCCTCCAGCCCCCCTCCCCCAGGCAGGGCCGAGTTGCCAGCTGCTAGCAAGGCCTATTGTTCAGCTGTGACAAGAAATGGCTGCTGAGCCCAGGCTGGAGGTAAAGAGGGGGAGGGGTGGCAGGCAGGAAAGCTCCCAACACCCCTGGCACTGGCCTGCGGTCCTGGGAGAAGTCTGAGACAAACACGACCCTCATCCATTCGGTCCCTCTGTTGTTAGGGTGCAGCCTCGTCTTCTCTGGCCATGTAATGTAGGAAACGTGTTGGCAGGGGAGTAGCTTCCGGAAGGACTGGGCCAAATGGCTGCAGACAGTGCTGGAACTTCAGCCACGTCCCTGCTCTTCTGTGTAGTGTCCAGAGATGAGGACAGTCTCTGACACGTGGACAGCTTACAGGTAGGTGTACAGAGCTTCTCAGAGAGCTGTAATTCTTGTGACCATTCCTGAAGGAATGTTGGTGGGGGAGACTTAGAGGCAGAGGAGGTCCCCGAGGCCACCGAGTGAGAGACTAAGGGATGCTCCAGCCTATCCCTCAGTCTCCTACTCCTGCTTTAGGACTCTGAAGTTCAGTTATGAAAAGACCAGGCTCCTCAGCTAACCATGAGCAGGAGCCACATGCTCTCCCCGAACTTTGCAACAGAAATCAATGGGGAGACACCACGGAGAGAGGGAGAGCCGGAGAGAGGGAGAGCCATGCTTCCTCCTCTCCCTTGCAGCAAGCACATGCTCAGCCGTAGTTGTCCCGGCTCTGAAACAGCCCGCCTTCCCCACCAAGTCATGGCACACATCCCTGCTAAGAGCTAGCACCCACTTACCATGAGTCAAACCCCAGGTCTGCCCCAGCCAGGTTGCTGTCCCAAGCCCATGCTCTCTCATCTGTCTCTGCCTCCCCTCCCTGCCTCTGTCACTCTCTGTCCTTCATTCTTACTTGAAGTGAGCTTTGGTGACTTTTGGGGATCAAATGAGTCCAGGAACACTGGGTGAGGGTTTTGTTTGAGGAATCTAGTGTACTAGGCTCCAAGTCTGGGCTTTGGGATAGGCCTAGCTGGGCAGGGCAGCTCCAGGACTCGGTTGGTGGAACTCTGGGAACTTCTGAATCACAGGACTTAGAGTTGCTGGGGTGCTTCCCTGAGTGCCTCACTTCCTTATCCAGACCTGCCCAGCCCCTTGGCTGCCAGGTCAGTAGGGTAAAGGGTTTCCTTGTTTCTAAGCTGGTCTGAGCAGCTCTGGCTGTAGGGCTCTATTCTGCACCTTGGGGACACACTGCTGCCCAGGGGCCACAGGCCACAGTGGTGTTCATTGTGGATGTGCCATCAACAAACAGAATGCTTGGACATGATCCCTGGCTGGCTTGGGCCTGGCACAGAGAATGAGGGAATAGTTTCTGGTCCCCCATCCTAGTAGTCTGTACCCCTGGCAAGCCCCTCAGCTAACCACAGGGAAGAACAGGCAGGTGAGGAGAGAATGTTTGCAAGAGAGAAGAGCGCCTGCCCACTGAAATCAATCTCTGTT